TAGGGATGAATTCAGGGAACCTGATTTGTGGTAAATGATAACCTACCGTGCAAAAGCACTAACTGATAGCTACGTTAGAGCGTGATTTTTTTGAACATAGCGATTCTAACGATTGTGTTCGCTCTGCTTGTTGCAAGTAGTTTAGAGCGAACCCTAAGATATGGTTTTGTGTTCTTTCCTTCCATGGGATACTGTATTATTGCATATAGAAAAATTCTTCTAACAAAAATATTCCTTTCGTAATAGAAAACTTAGGTTTGAATGAAAAACCGTCACACTTTTCGATTAAACCCTTAAAATCGAACAGAAAAATTTACTCCAGACATCGAAATTAGGTGATCTAATGAAATGTTTCCTAAAAATCTTAATTGAGAGTTGAGCGAAACAAGATTCTTTAAGCAACTCTTTTTCTTAATTCAAGGCCTCGACTGAAAACTTATTCTTTATTTAAAAAAACTATTCCATAGACTGAAAGGCTAGGGTCTAGAAACCGAAATTCACCTGTGTCTGTCTGTCTGTCCGTCTGTCTGTCTGTCTGTCTGTCTGTCTGTCTGTCTGTCTGTCCGTCTGTCTGTCCGTCTGTCTGTCTGTCTGTCGGTAACGCGGTCAAAATGGCCATTTTTTTTTGCACAAACGTCCATTTTTTTGGCGCAAATGGCCATTTTTTTGGCACAAGTGACCATTTTTATGGCACAAACGATCATTTTTTTACTAAAATTAACTAGGTAACTATGGTACAAATGAGCATGTAACTATGGCACAAACGGTCATTTTTTTGGTACAAACGGCCACGTAACTATGGCACAGGTGACCATATAGCAACCATGGTAGAAACAACTATTCCGGTAACTATGGTACAAATGACCATCTAAAGGCTGATGTAAATGAACCCATAATAATCATGGGTAAAATGTTAATGGAATAACTATAATTCGGGTAGTGGTGTAAAACGGCTTACAAAAGCATTTAATTAGTGAGAGTCAGACCAAATGAGCAGTATGGATTTAAAGAAATCGTTTAAATTATTCATTATTGTAGGATTGATTGTGCAATGTTGTATCAATGAATATCTAATTTATTAATAATTTAGAATTAATGCGCGAATTGAAGCATAAAAATATTGATTAATAAAACTCAAATTTTATGAATAATATAATTCATATTTTTGTACGTACAAATAGCGCCAATATAATTACAAAAAGAATCGTATTGTTGTCTAATCTTATTGGGCGCTATTTATATTTATAAAAACAAAAAAAAATAAAACAAAAACGATAAAAAAAATTAAATTTGTAAATGCATCATCTTTACTTAGAGTGAGAATTCTCCAAATTAAGTTTTCTGCTCGCCTAAGATATACTGGTCATATTATCAATTTTGCGTATTACTTTTTTAATGTAGCTTTTTATGCTATTACATCCGTACATGTATTCTATCAGTCTAGGGCTAAGTGAATCGCTTGACGATGAACGTTACTTGTGAATGTAAATGGTGCCATGATATCAGATTACTTTCTGTTGCACTCTCATTTTACACCTCACTAGACCAAGATAATCCAAACGACATTCAATAAACGCTACATAGATAGTAGATAGATACATATTATACTCTACAGAGTTCAGAGATCTTATTTACTCGTTTCTTGTAATAATGATTTAAAATATTTTTTTCTTTTCATTGACAGAGCGTACGATAAAATGTCGAAATTATGAATCTTGAGTACAAGCATTGAACCATTGACAGAGATGATTGTTTTCCTTTTTCTCAAAAGCTTTTTTTATCGATTTCGAAATGTAACGACTGTTCTATATTTGGTATTTCAGATTTCGATAAGAAATGGCAACGGCTCAACTGAATTCATCTTCTCGTCGAAAACTGGCGTTGATTATTGGTAATGACAACTACGGTAAATCATACAACAAACTGAATCATTCTATCAATAACGCAAACGATCTGAGTGATTTGCTCAAGAAAATCAATTTCAATGTGACGACAGTCTGCGATTTGACACATCAAGAGATGATCACGCATATCATTAACTTTTCTAAAGTGATCAGTAATGGTGACTTGATTTTATTCTACTTTTCTGGCCATGGCTGTCAGGCTAATGACAAAAACTATCTGATACCTGTTGATCGTACTACACTAGAAACAGACAGAGATATCGACGACTTTTCAGTTAATGTTGAACGAACCATTGCACGATTCGTAGAAAGAAATTCTTCGTACGCCACTATATTTATCTTGGATTGCTGTATACCATACAAGATGCAAAGCCGTTCAACATCAACTCGTAAGTGACACAAATTATGAATTTCCAAAGCAATGTTTATATCTCTGTAGCACTGATCAAAAGCAAGGGTCTGAGTGAAATTCAACCACTTTCAGGAGCATTTATCCAATTTGCTTGCTCTGTGAATCAAGGAGACAGTGGTGGTTGGGAAACAGGCCGAAATTGCTTGTTCACCAAGCATTTATTAAGAAACATTACTCGAGAAAATGTCGACATTACTAATGTTCTTCAAGATGTAGCCAACAATGTATATCGAGAAAGTAATCGTACACAGAAACCATTGTGTATGAACGGATTAAATAGACATCCACAAGTTTATTTTAATGAAGTGAGCGTGCCTGTCGTAGGTAAGTTAGGCAGATGTTCCACGAAGCATTGAGCATCGGGCTCAAATGGTGCTTCCTAGCATATTTTTCTTAATAACAGGTATACTTGTGAAATACAAATAACAAAAATAGAAAAGCAATATCATGAAATTCACCTAAAAGAAGTCTGCGGGACTAGTTTGGTTATTTTCCAGACTGAAAGAATCTGACCTAGAAGCGGTATATAAATCATGATTGGCTGTATGTCTTCGTGAAACGTTTGGAAAACTATTGTCTTCTACATGCAGTCTAGTATTGGCTATAAGTTAGTTTTAAAGAGACTAATAAAGATCTAAACATGTTTCTGTTTATGGCTTCCCTATACAGACATATAGTTAGATGCACGTAAAAAAGTGACATTTTATAATTTTTTGTTAAATATCGTTTCTCTCTATATAACTGACTTGAGATCATTTTTTTGCAACTGATCCTGAAGTGATCTGCTTGCAGATTCAATCTCAATTTGCTAGTTTTTTTTAGAGCTAAGATGACTGTGAATGTGGATCACCTTCTCACTCACACCCAGCAGATGACACAATGGTTATTGATATCCACTTGAAAATTTGTTCGGCAAATTTTTAGAGTACGATATAATAGAAGTTATGGAAAGGCTTTATGAACGCTTTTATTTGTGTAATCAACTCATCAAAATACACCTTCCCCATGTTCTTTGTCTGCTTGATTTATAGTTCAGGAGTTAAGGCTTTTTGTCACATGACATTTGGATAAGGTTTACTTCGAGGCAACTAATGAATAACAGTAATATATTCGAAAATCGTTTGAAAGCTCCCTGCTTTGGATAGCGTGTAGGATGCGGTGTGGTGTGGATATAGGTATCCTTACGAGTCTCCCGTTCACTAACTAACACCCAGCATTCCACATTCCCACTTATCCTAGAAAATCAAGCAGCAAAAATCTGACAGATCAATTCGTGACCTATTTTATAGCTTCAAAAAAGCAAAATATCCCTATTCAACATTTTAATTTTACTGCAAAGTATTTTATTAGTACTATCGCGAGATCGAAGATAAAAATAATGAACTTCAAATGATTATTTTGCTAACAATGCCAACATTCTTTATTTATAAGATGATACCATTCTGGATGCAAAAGATTTTCTATCGAAACAACCGTTGTTATCTGAAGAAAAAGTCTATTATGAAGAATGTAAAGAATATTATCATCTAACAGGGCAACCATTAATATCAGTTGCCGAAGAAGTTTTTGACAATAATACTGAATTAACGACACCATCACTAAAACTCTGTATTGATGAAGATTGTAATCAATTCGATTTACAAAGCTTTTTTACTAATTTTTGTGGTAAAATAAATTTAACGATGAAAGATATACTGCTCAAAAAAATACAAGTAGGTTCATGCATATTAGAAGCTGAACTATTCAATAAGTTTGAATCAAATGATAAAAAATTATCTTTAAAAATGATATGTAAATCAATTACGGATCGATTACTAGAAGACTTTGGTAAAATGAAGATTTTCTTCATGTTTATGGGTCCAATCAAATCGTTATTTAAACAGCAAAAATATCGTGCTGAACTTAAACTTAATCCTCAATATAATCGTATATATGCACATGGTCATTCTTATTGGTCAGATGCTCTTAATGATGGCATCGATCGTGGAAATAAACCTTACTATTGTCCTGTAGGATGGAAACGATGTTCTTTTTATGTTACTGATCGATTTTATGAGAAATTTAAAGGATGGTGCATATGTTATCATGGTACAAAGTTTGCACATGGTTTATCGATTTTATTGAATGGATTAAAACCAGCAGAAAAAGCTCAACATGGTACAGGAATATATGTTTCTCCATCCATTAATTATGTATGTCATCCAAGATATGCTGAAGTTAAACTACTTAATACATCACATCGAAGTAAATTTTTCAAATCGGGAAAATACGTACAATTTGTATTAGAATGTCGTGTTCATCCCAGTAATATTAAGAGAATAAAAGAGGAAACATTAGATGCTGGTAGTACAGTTATTGATTCCAATATTGGCAATGAAATTATCGAATGGGTTATTAATCATCATAAGAAAAGTATTGTAGATTTTAATGATCCAGACTCTTCTATTGTTTGCACTGGAATAATGATGCGTGTTACAGATGATCATCCTGGTTTATTACCTGAGTCTCAATGGTGGTATAAATCACATCTGTGCAATTATGAAAAATGTTGTGTGTTAGGTATTGATCTTGATGTTCTCCAAAGAAGACGTACTAGTGGATATAAGTGTAACATCATCTATGACTAAATTAAAAAATTAATGTACTTTTCTTTTTTTATCACTTTTTGTTCATTCGAGAAGTTTTCTTTGGTTGCTCTTCTAAAGTAGTTTGTTTATAATAAATATGAATTTTGTTACGAATCATTACAATGAAATATCATGAAGTTAAATATACACAATACTGAAAACATTTACGACAACCATTTCCGAGTTTCGGTTTCTCCGGAATATACTCTGAAAATCGACAACATGCATAACTGTCTTTCTGGTCTGCGTTAGTTACAAAATCAATATTTAAGAATCAAGAATTGAATCAATGATAACTCTAATTGATACGTTCATGATTTCTGGTATAGAACAACCAAATACAAATAAGTATTTCACTGATTATATGAATGTTATAAACTAGTTTCAATAATAATGCGTGCACCAAGACCGATCACAGTCACGTTTTGACTAGGTGAAGAAAACTATTTTATCAGACTTACTCAAGGAAATGTATTTACTCTCTTTAAAAACAGCTCACTATTTGAGACGAAAACGAAATTAGTAAATGTCAATGATTAGACTGTTCAAAGTCAGCACATTTTCATCTATTTACTCAATCTTAACCAAAACTAATCCTATTATGAGCTAGCGTTGTCATATCTAAGCAAAATTGAGTTGAACTCGAACAAGTGTTGCCTAATAACTATATCCTAAATCACGATATTGTTCATGTTCACAGATCAGAAGCTGACAATCTACGCAAACAAACGGTGCATGACGAAGATTAAGAATCTCATCAGATAGCTTTCCTAAGTGTGCATGAATCTTAATAAATAGTAGACGGTTTCTAGTCGAATGTACAACTTACTTGTTCCATTCTTGGGAGAAAATTCTTTATCGCAAGTGTGACAAACGATAAAGAGGTGAGAAAGAGCTGTTATGACGGCTATTGTCGTCTGCTCAAGAGGATTCAACAGATGATTTGATTTCAGATACTTGTATTATCGAAGTAAACCTTTTGCCTTAAAAAGTAATTTGGCAATTCTTCGATGGAAACATTCAACACACCATTAAAATGTTTCATTGCAAGTGAATTTAGTCACTTAATCACACTATATTTTCTTATTCAATTTGAATAAAATAGCAGCAAAACAACATTTTACAAATGAAAGTTGATCTTCGTATGATTATTTGCAGCTATTGAATGATAGCCATTTGTCATTAATCGTGGGTGAGTGTGAGCGTTGGTTAAAAGAACACCTGCACACTCTCACTCTACTCTTTGTAATGTAAACAACTTTAATGTCTCGTACTAAAAGGCAGATAAAACAAGATTTTTTAATGAAAAATTTATCATATGACATTAGATCCAATAAGAAGAACTATTTAAAATAAGTGTCATACAGTTTCTATGAGAAAGACCTAGAGAACCTTTCAAAAAAAAGATTTTGTTTTTCGCCTTTTTGTACCTAATAGAAAACTCGTTTAAATTAAAGAATGTAGTTTTATCTATTTTTGTTTCTTTTTAATCTTACAACAGAATAATCTGATTTTTTGATAAAATATTGATTCATTTTTATTAGAATTCTAACAAAATTTGTTAAATAATGTACTTTAATTATTACATTCAATTACATATTTTTCATTCACATAATAAATCAAGATTATTCATGCTTCAATGAGCATTAGTAAAAAACACTTTAATCCACCCGTACTTCAAGCCATTTTCTTTAAGAAATCATTGATGAATGATATCGCTTGTGGTCGGGTCTCATGCATATAGACTTAGAAACGCTATCGCTGGATTATATCTTCGAATTGAATGGCTTTTGAAATGAGTTAGAACGCATTTCACTAGTATTCTGGAAATGTGGACTTGAATATAATTGTCATTTACAGTTTAGAAAAGGTCCTCCAAGATCTTGCGTGTATGGTTAGAATTCTGAATCCGTTCTGGTAATTATACTCATTCCCTTTACAAAGATTGGAAATCGTCACCTGTGACATCCATCTAACGACACCGTTCAATAGGCTGTCTCAGAATAGCACTATCCCATCGTGTTTAACAGTCTGAACAAATCTTACTAAAATCTTTTAATTCCTAAACAACCATGGTGAAAGTTTCTTATCTAAGCTCGATGTTTTTCGAAGAAGTGGTTAGATAGAATTTCATCTGCTTATTGATGAAAAGCCTGTTCACAAGTTCGTTTACATGTGAAAATTCTATTCTTACTCTGGTAGAACTCTCGACTAGATTCTTATATTTAGGGTCCAAGATAGATCTTGCCACAAACTATGAATATATTCATAAAAATCTTTTCTTCTATTCTAGTTAAGAGTCTGAATTTTCTATTCAGAAAAATATCTCAATAAGAACTTGAACAAATCCTTGCAAACATATTTTACTTAGAATCATGATTATAATATCACAGAAGATGTTTTTGGTAGTGCTATTGAATCTTTAAAAAGGGTTCGCATCAGTTTTAATTCTTGGAAACTGTTTTTTTATTAGGCATATCTCTCTTCAAATCTGCCTGGCACACCTACACTCAACTCACACAACCAATATTAGCGACACGATTTAATGGTTGCCAAGGTAGACAACCATGAAACTTGGACACAGATTTATTTCTCTATGCATGACTTTGTCATAAAAGTTCCTTCGGATGTTATTTCGACGCATATTGATTTTAAGACAAGACATAAATGACAAAAAATGGTTTCGAAGCTCAACTACATGTAACACTTGATGCAGTCAATGTATAACATCCACAAGTGGTCTAAATAACTTTTTCAATAAAAACGACGACGACACATGTATTCAACAAACGCAGATTCAAAATATTTGAAAGCATCCATTGATTCACTGTAAGATAAATGTCTGTCAATATATTTCTTTGAAAGTGTCTAGATGAGTTTAGATGTGTTTCTAAAACCATTTCAATCAAAAACGCACCTAAGTGCATCAGCTTGTTTTTCTTCACGTACATCTGGATGCATAATTTTTCTTTATTTTACACGCTTCTAGACACATTAGATGTTTCATTTTAGATGCAGGTAACTACTGAAAAATATTCATCGAGTAAGCTACTTTTGTAATGCTGGATTACTTCACCGCAATGGTGTCCTTCAGATGAATGTTTATGATCACTCAAGACTGCATGGAGACGAATTACTCTTCTTAACAAGTTTATTCGAATGTCCCCAACGAGTCTAATCGAAATAGATACTAGCCCCTTTCCTGCGAATAACACAATGTTGACTTGACACGGACAATGTTGCTGATGAGTAATTTGACATAATCATGGTATTTTTTGAAGTCAGGCTTTTGATTGGATTCATAGGTAAAAGTTTGAAACAAATTTTCATCGAATTTTGAGGATTGCCATATAATGATAGCTGTGTCAATCGGTTTATAAAAATCTTTTCGCCCAAGTCCGACACAATGGAATAGGAACATAGTAGTTAATAGCAAACCTGAATTTGAAGCAATATATAAGAGCGACAACTTGGCGATGAATAATGAATAAAATAGTCCACTACCAAACTTGTATTGTGACTAATTACTCTTATCACATCAAATGATCTTCTCCTAAGCTAAAGATAATCTATTCGATTCTTGACTTTGTCCAATTATTGATTCTACTCCGTGCTTATTTCATTTTTTCTCTTTCTTCTTCTTTCCTCAGTAGTTAACTATACTCTATCCTTGTATCGTGTACAATCACTTGCCGCTTCCTTCTAGGAATTCTTACTATCTTTCTGTAGCGATTTCTTCTGTCTACTTGTCTTTGTGGTATCCTATCTATATTCTCAAGTATGTATTTTAAACAAACGAGGGATAAATAGGCATCAAACTGACATTCATGCTTCGGTGTGTCACTCAAGTATTTTGAACTTGCAATTATCGATTCGACGTAGTGTATGACTTGATAATTGGATAATCTCTTCATGATATAGTGAACTTTATTATAGAAATGCTCAAAGCACAAAGTTTCGAAGAAGCAAAACAAAAATGTTTCATATATTTTCATCGACTTTCTAAAAAAATGTCAGAATTTAGTGACTCGTAGTGTCATTTGTTCGTTGATCGAAAAAGGCATAATACGTGTGCGCCCACATGGTAAATAACCGACACAAATATGTTTCATTTGTTTGTTCAAGCTAAATAGTGCGACCATCATAAGAGCAGTAAATAGTGAGATAGCGTTAATACTTACTAAGTAAAGCGGCTCTGGCGGTGTACTCTCTGGCTGTAGGCCCCGCCAAATAGTAAGAAACAAGCAGAGTGTTCCTCCACCTGCAAAAATTCCCAGTAACATCACCATATTTCGTGCAAGTCTGATTTCACGTTTAGCATTTGGCATACGAAAATTCGTGGAATTTGAAGCACAAGTAGCCACTCGTCTAGATGATCTAGCATAATATAATATTGTGGTATAAACAGTGATTGAAACGCTAAGTGGAGTCACGAATGCAGTCATCGCAAAAAACATTGTCGACAAAAATTTTTTAGTAGTGAGTGTGCAAAGGCGTGATTCCTTTTCATACACCATAGCATCATCAAAATATAATAGTACTGTCGAAATTAATATAGAGATAATCCAATTCGAAGCAATCATACACCAATGAACACGATAAGTAGCAAGATACTTGTGTTTATAAAAGATGGTCAAAAAGAGACGACTGACGGCTTGTAGCATATACGAGTAACAATGACCGGCGGATGATATAAGAGCACAATATACTCGAAAAGTACACAATGGTTGATTTTGTGCCCAATCTTCGCGAAACCCATAAATAGATTCGATGAAATTGTTAATGAAATATAATATAATAGTCATACTTGTATTACATGTGAGAAGGTTTGTAACTGTGCGACATGATCGATGAGAAACAACAATGAAAATTATGATAAAACAAAAAATCAAGCCGATAATCGAAGCTACGATCGAAAAAGAATAATTAACAATAAAAACTAGTTCAGAAAGCATGTCTAACAAAGATTTGTATTCATTCGTATGTAAGATCTTTTACTGTATTTCATGATGTCAAAATTGTTGAGAATTTGATTCATCAGTTCTGCTCTTGAATATATTGTTTTTTGACAAGAACATGAGAAAAAAAAAGCATAGCCAACCAGCATTCATTTCACTAGCATGATGTTTGTTTGTGCACTTGTCACAATTGACGTAAACTGCGCGAAGTGACAACACTTGCATATTTGAATGCATATATGCCATATTGTTGACGATAACTAAATGCATTGAAAACATGCATAGATATAAATGCATGACTAAATATTTCTGTTCAATTATGAGTACCTTGATTTGAAGATTATAGGTATTAAATGTAAGGCTACAAAAAATTTAAAAGATTTAAGGTGCTGCGAATGAAAGAAAAAAAATTGTTGAACACTTGAAGTTGATGCCATGATAAGACAAAAATAAGCACTGAGGTTTTGATGATTTTCGATATTTCGGCTTAATCTTAAGTGTTGCTCTGCTCATGTAAAACAAAAAAAGCAAAATAGTCGCCTTTTAATCGAATTCTTTTATTTAAAA